ATCAAAGTTCATTGAAAAATATACACCCCTGTGCTAGGTTGATGTAAGCATTTAATGATGGTAAGACATTAATCTTCATTACAAATCTCTCTAAACAGATGGTTTCTAAGTGTACAGTAAAACAGACAGTTTTGTCTAGGCATACTTCAAGCAAGTGAATTGTAATTAATTCTTTACCTTTATCTTTCCAGCCATTCAGCTCATCACACAATTTCTGTTCATCTTGAGGTGACAAATTCACGTTCTTAAGTAAAGTTTCCATATTTTGAAAAGCAGCAATAAATTTTGCTTCCGTCCAATTTACAAAGTTGCAATGTGCCCACTCGTTTCTGATATCTGATCGAACTGTCTTTGCATGAGCAGCAGCTCCTACAAATGGGGCAGCTTCACAAATCACTGATAAGACTGCAGATATGTCCATTGTTTCATCAAAGCCAGTGAACTTGGACATGAATGGCTGAACAAACAACTTTGCCAAAGATAACGGATCTGTAACTGCATAATTAAATGCACGAGGTGATCTAAGGGCATCATTGTTGTTGATATTTTTATACTTGAGGTCTAAAGTTGATGGCTTCAACTGTATTTTATGTCGACCATAAACTTGTTTGTCAATTTCGCTCGGCGGTTGACATAAAACCTGATGCCAGTTTGCTATTTCGGTTGCAAGAACATTTCTCAATGCAGGAGTAAGCACTTTGGTCAAACATACACCAATTACAACCCATCTTCTTTCATCGTCCGTTATAGAAGTTGAAGTATAGGCAGTAGCCATTACTGATCTACAATTATTACAAAAAAGATGTTCTTTGAGTGTGTACCTTAGCGCCCTAATCAGGGTCGTAGCTAGCATTTTAGATTTTGAGAGTGTTTCTAAATTTCAAGGGTGTGTACGTTGCAATTACCAGAATAACCAAATGCTTGGTTCCAGTTACGCTTGCCAACAATGGAGTATATGATATTTGTGGTGTTACTCTGAGTGTATATCCACACCGGGCGAGCTTGAAAAATATGCCCGGCTACGGTGGGATTCGAACCTACGACCTTTGGAATACTAGCCCAATGCTCTTC